ATGCGTTTTTGCTGGCTGTAGCAGCGCTATAGCGCTGCTATAGCGCTGCACAGCAAAAACGTATAAAAACGACCGTTAAACAGATATTGCTTATTTTCTTTCATGCAAAATTTACGATGAGCTACGGTATTGAGAGCACAAGGTAGGTGTAAAGAAACAAAACTCATGCAGTTAACCTAATTATTTCAGTTCTGGTGCAAAAACGCATGATTGCACCAGCTCGTCTGGTGCGTTCCAGCCTGGGTTTGAAAATCATTGGCGACGCGCACTGGCGGACCCGTGCGATCATGCGTTTTGTAGTGTTTTGTGCTGCAATAAGATCACTCGAAATTCCGCTAGCTAGAAACCTCTTGTAAATACTGGTCCTCGAATTTCGGAAAGTTAATTATCCATGCTATACTTGGACAGGGACCATTCCCTTGAAATTCCAGATTCCCGGCTTTCTCAGTTCCCGAGTTACCCAAATTCCAGCCGGAAAATTTCACGGGGCCGTAAGTGCAACCACGCATATTGGGGCGCTGAATTTGATAAATTCAAGTTGTAGATGAGTTGCAAACATTTCCTGAAAGTTTCAACCTCCGAGCATCTCTGGTTCCGGAGTTAGCCACTTTTCCGTCAAAAATTTTCACGAGGCCGTGCGCGGCAATCACGCATAACGGGGGCTGAATTTGATAAATTTGGGAACATTTGGGAGTTGGGAACATTTCCTGAAAGTTTCAGCCTCCCAGCTTTCTTGGTTCCCGACCTAGCGATTTTCGCGCCAGGAACCTTCACGGGGCCGTACGCGAAAACTACGACCCCGCGGGAGCTGAATTTGAAATCTTTGAGTTCTACTTGAACTGGAAACATAATCCCGAAATTTCTGCTTTCTAGCTTTTCTGGCTCTCGAACTAGCGATTTTCCCGCCACAACATTGAGGCACTCGTACGCGGGGCTTAGACGTACTTGACGGTTGGTACCGCGGTCCTGGGGTGGCACTTGGCCGGGGAACCCACTACCGAAATTTTGACGCCGAAGCTTGCTTGGGTGCCGAGTTGAAATACCCGGACAGACACACACACATATACACACGCACACACACAAGCACACATACGCACACACACACACACACACATACACACACACTGGGGTCGTTACAATATGTGTTTTTGCATATTATGCGAAAACGCATAATGACTAAGCTGTTCAACAAGTTTCCAACCAAAAATTTAAGTGACCGTACACGAGAACCGCGCATGCCTGGGGGCTGAATTTGATATGTAAGACATTGGCTGTGAACATTTCCTGAAAATTTCAGCCTCCCAGTTTTGCTAGTTCCCGAGTTAGCCATTTTTCCGCCAAAAAATTTCACGGGACCGTACGTGAGAGCTAAGCACTCCTGGGGGCTGAATTTGAAATCTTCGAGTTATATGTGGGCGGGGAACATAACCTCGAAATTTCAGCTTTCTGCCTTTTCTCGTTCCCAACTTATAAATTTTCCCGCCAAAACTCTCATCCTCGTATGCGGGGCCCAGACTTGCGTAAGGACTGGTACAGCGGCTCTGGGGTGGCACTTGACAATATCTTGGTGCTGGAACTTGCTTGGCTGCCGAGTTGAAATACCCGGACAGATGAAAACACACACACAGACAGGGTCGTCGCAATACGCGTTTTTACAATATAATAATGCATAAAAATCAGGCGCTTAGAGACTGGTTCCGTTTGTGGAGGAGCATAGAAGAGTTAGGAGTTCGATTAACTTGCTTGATCCCTGCTTTGCCAAAATGCCGTAAAAGATCTTCGCATTTCATGTCGCCGCTGTTCATGCGCTTGCAGGAGTAAGTGTACTTCCGATTCAATCAACCTTCAAAAAAAGCTCCGTAATGCGATTATTTCTCGCACGTACAAGTGGAAATATCTCCGTAACTAAAGCAACTACATCGCTGAAATTTTTTTAGCATAGCCCATGACTTATTTTGGTAAGCACATATAGCGACAACGCTCACATTTTCGTTTCACGCGCAAATAAGTGAAATTTGACGTAACTCCGCAATCAAAGTAGCTAGAGCGCTGCAACTTTTTTGAGCTTAGCTCACATCATGTTCAGTATGGGTTTTTTTTGACAATGTGGTGGCCGGTCTCAATTCTTTTGCTGAAAGTATCTGCTGAAAAAACACTGTTACCAAGTGGTAAATACCTGTGGGAAAGCTGTGCAAAAATGCATGTTCGGATCGCAAGTTGGCGCGATTGCTACTAAGCTTACAATTTCATATGCTACCGGGATCCCCAAAAACGACTGTGTTTAAAGCACATTAATATTTTACCCACTCAAATTAGATTTATTATTTGCTTCTTTCGCAAAAGACGCCAATTTTTCAGCTTTTACGGATTACGCAGACTAGTAAAAGAGTTTTTTTTACACTGATTTTGAAATCTCACTTCTTCACTTTTTTAAAATTTTTAATTTCGATAATAGCTTATCTTACTGTTCATCAAGCTCATTGATATGATGGAGATGTTCTGCGCCCAAAATGAACAGCTCCTCTTGATTGTACTTTTCCATAAGTTCGAAAAAAAGTCGCTCCACTGCTTCTCTGTCCATAGAAGGCTGTGGCTCCTAAAAGTTTATTAGTTTTTCTTCAAAAACTTGCTTTCTTTAATATTTTTTATGCTTTTTTATGCGTTTTTAAGAGCAGCGCTATTACGCATATTTTCAAGTTGTGGTGTGCGCGTATTTGTATGTGTGCTTGTGTGTGTACGCATGGGTATGTATGTGTGCGTGCGTGACTGTGTTCAGGCTTGTGTGTGCGTATATATGTGTAGGTGAAAGAACTTTGTCATCCACATTCAACTCGAGAACTAGAGAAGCTAGAGAGTTGAATATTTGGGGCATGTTCCCACTTTACACACGATCCTCTCGTTCCAAATCAACGTTCGTGCGCGCTTGGACCCTAAATGCTGACGCAGAAAAGAGAAATTATAGATTCTTTGACGAGAAACGATTTCGAGGATTAGTTAACACACGATGAAATGTAAAAGTATCTCTCTGTCTAGTTAAACATTTCAGATTCATCTATCACGAATGCCCACGTCACGTGTAGGGATATGCCAAAGACATAGTTCGCAGAGGGCGACTGTACGAGCCTATGAAGCAAAAATTTTATTGAATGCTACGGCTTTAGGTTCAATTCTGCAAGTGACACTTTGGAAAATGTTCATTCGTTTCGATGGTAAATTGGTTTCAGCAAACTCCAAAGAACCGCTTGTCTTAAAGCAAGTTTTGGAGAGAGAGTACTACTGACGAGCTCTGCCGATGGTTGTTGTTAGCAAGCGCTACAGCTAGGTTCATTTCCGAACGCCTCAGCCTTCCAGCGATTTGAATTTCAGATTTTTATTCGGTGCCCTCCTGGCTTAATTTTGCTGGCGTTGAATTCATGTTTGTATATTTTTCACCACAGACAGATGATTCTGGTGCCCGTCCGCGAAGTTTTTTGAAATTGTTCTTCTGTTCTTTTATGCCCCACACCTGTCATCAAGCTGCT